CTCAGTTAGAAACAAGTATGTAAAGGGGCGCCTGGGTGGCGCAGTCGGTTAAGCGTCCGACTTCAACCAGGTCACGATCTCACGGTCCGTGAGTTCGAGCCCCGCGTCGGGCTCTGGGCTGATGGCTCAGAGCCTGGAGCCTGTTTCCGATTCTGTGTCTCCCTCTCTCTCTGCCCCTCCACCGTTCATGCTCTGTCTCTCTCTGTCCCAAAAATAAATAAAAAACGTTGAAAAAAATTAAAAAAAAAGAAATCAGGATTTGAATAAAAACCAACAGAGCACAGGCTTGTTGGCTGTCTCCTCTGACCCTTTATTTTGAAAGTCAAACTTTGTCCTTTCAATGGCCTGCGTGAGTAGATGCCCCAGACAAGTGTGGGGGGTGGGCAGGCAGAGGAAGGAAAGGAAGCCTTCACACTAGACCAAACCACGACCCTCCGCAAACCCTCGGAAGCTTCCGGTTGGTTCCTCCCCCTTCACCCAGGAGGTTCACAAAGTCTACACCTGCACTGCTCCCTTCGGCAGCCGATGGCCATGGGTGGCAGGTCTGAATTAAGATGTGCGGTACGTATAAAATACACACTGGCTTTCAGATACTCAGTTAGAAACAAGTATGTAAAGGGGCACCTGGGTGGCGCAGTCGGTTAAGCGTCCGACTTCAACCAGGTCACGATCTCACGGTCCGTGAGTTCGAGCCCCGCGTCGGGCTCTGGGCTGATGGCTCAGAGCCTGGAGCCTGTTTCCGATTCTGTGTCTCCCTCTCTCTCTGCCCCTCGACCGTTCATGCTCTGTCTCTCTCTGTCCCAAAAATAAATAAATGTTGAAAAAAAAATTAAAAAAAAAAAAAAAAAGAAACAAGTATGTAAAGCGTCTAAACAATTTTTTATATTGATTACGTGTTGAAATGAAAGCATTTTGGCTATTTGGTTAAATATCATTACGATTAATTTCGTGTTCCTTTCTACTCTTTCGATGTAGTTACTAAAACATTTTTAGAATTCCACGTGTGACTTGCATGGGAGGCTCCCGCTAGGTTTCTCCTGGACGGTGCGTTAAAGCCTCATTTGGTTGCAGAAATTCTTTGGATACCAGACCTGCCTCGGAGCTCACTCTCTGGACCCAACTCCTGGAGAGTAGGGGCCATGTCTCAGGGGTCCCTGGGTCCCGGCACAGGGTCTGCCAGAGTGGCCCAAGGGGAGAGATGGCAGAGGCACTCGGTAGAGAATTGGGCCCCCTGTAGCACGTCCAGAGCATGTCTGGATGGAGATACACCGGAGATACACTGAGGCTTTCTGGGCCCTGTGCTGTTTAGCTGGCAGCATGGGCCCAACCGTGCTCACAGACCTGTCCTTGGCTGGAGCCCACCCGGGGGTTGGAAATGCCACCCGGGTGGAAATGCCAGTGAAATGAGCCCGGCAGCCCACTGCACCCTATTTCTTCTCCATCATGTTTACAGGAAAAGTGTGGGGCAAAAGGGAATGGAGCCCCTCAGCCCACACTGATCAAGGGAAAGTAAAAGCACAGGGAGAGGGGTGCCTCCTGCAGTGTGCACAGGCTGCCGCCCCATCCC